TCTGTAAGGGTTTATTATGCTTGTAGGGTTTGTCTTGTATTACTGTACCCCCTTCATCCCTTCTTTTTGGTTCGGTTTTGAGTCCATAAAGTTCCTGAGCTGTTATTTATCCACAAAATAGTATACATTCCTTTAGATTTTCAGTAGAGTTTAGCCGGATAGACTATTCTTGGTGTAGCGTTCATACCGGTGAGTTTTTTCACAATATCCCACCATTGCTTTCAGGCTTGGAGAGTTTCCTCTGATAGGTCTGCTGTGAATCTAAGGGGTGCTCCGTTGTATGTGATTTCCTTCTTTGACCTTGCTGCTTGCAGTTTTGTGTCTCTATCCATGACATCCATCATTCTAACTATGATATGTCTTGGAGTGTTTATGTTAGGGTCTCTTTTAGCAGCACCCTTCAGGCTCCTTGAATCTGAATGATTGTCCAGCTCTGGGAACTTTTCAGCAATGATTTGTTTAACCATGGCTTTTTCATTGGGACTTTTTCCCTGACCTTCTGGTACTCTAATGATTCTAATGCTCTTCCTCTTGGAATCATTCCCTAGGACTCTGAAACGTTCTAGAGCTATTTTGAGGTCCTTTGCCATTTTTAATTGTTGCCTATAGGCCTTGTGCAGCTGATCTTCCAGCTCACTGATTCTGTATTCAGCTGTGGCCATTCTACTGTTGAGGTACTGACTGAGTTTTTCATTTCATCTACCGAATCTTTTATTTGTGACATTTCTTTGCATAGCGTTCCTATTCCTGCTCTCATTTCTTCCTGTATGTTCTCGATTGTTTCGCTCATGTCCTTCTTTAATTTACTGGATATCTGTCTCACTGTTTCACTGAGTTCATGGAACATCTTCATTACTTCATATCTGAATTAATTCTCAGGGAGATCCCTTAGGGGAGTAGCACCTAATGAGGCTTCTGGACTCTTTTCATTGTCTTCCCCTCATGGTGGGGATTTGCATTGTTTCTTCATGTTGGTGTGGAGGTATGGAGACTGAGACATTACACAAGATTGCTGGGTATGGGTAAACGCCACAGTGGCCGGCTGAACATTGGGCTAAACCCACTTCTGAAGAGGCCAGGCCCACTTCTGAGAGTCCACGCCCCTACAGGTACCTGGTGTCTGTGAACGGTACAACTGTTAGAATGAGACAATCTTATGTTTAAAGATCAGTCCTAATCCTCTCTAGCTGTGTGACCTCTGGTAAGTTTCTTCACTCTTTGTCTTGATTTCCTCATCAATAAAGTGGAGCAGTGGAATCTGTGATTCTCTCAGGTGACGCCTTCTCCCCTGCGCCCTACTGGGCCCACCGGCTCGCCTGCACTCAGTGCATTCTGGTAGTGGCCAGAGACATGCTCCCGCCAGGCTGCTGCATTCTGCCTGTGTGGGAGAGCAACCCGGCAACTGTGTGGCGCAGTAATGTGCGAGTGTGTGCGTGTGTGTTTGTGTGTGTGCGTGTGTCTGTGTGTCCATGCGTGTGCCAGTGGGATGAGGGTGTGCGGGATCACAGCTCCCCCTCGGCACCCATCCTCCACAAGTGCCTCCACCACCTCGGTGCTACACAGCTCAACCCGGGTCCAGGTTTGGGATTGTCCTGTGTGTTTAATGAAAGGAAGGGCCAATGATGGTTTTAACGACATTTTATATAGTCGTTACTATTACACATAGTCACATACTATTTCTCATCTTTACTATTACCGTAAGAGTTAAAAGCTGCTTTGGAGCTAGGAGTATGGGTAGTAGTAGAGTACTCACCCTGTATGTGTAAGGTCAGGCCATAAATTCCCATATCTGGACTTCCTTCCCCACCGCCAACCCCCCCAACTCAGCTATATTTCATTATCTCTGCCAGAATGAATTTTTTTAAGTTCTATGAACCTTGTGACATTTATCTGATAAGCTTCCTTTGTCTATAGAGAAAAATTTTTCTCACTTGCAAATTGCTTCATATCAGATTACATCTGTCAAAATGTAGTTAGTATCTGACTATTAGCATTTCCCATGTAAGCTGATCTGTTTTTGTGTTTCTTTGTAAATCAAGTAATTTGGATCATACCTTATTTTTACCCTTACATTACGAGATTCTGGGTTTTATTAAAATCGTATGGAGAATGTTTAATATTTTTCTTTTAACAGACACTTAAATTCATTAGGTAAAGGCTATGAGCCCCAATCATTTTGGACATGGAGTCTGAATGTCAATTAAATTTTCAAAGGCTGCTGTGCTATTTAGATGTTTCTTCTGTCACCCAATGATCTATCTGGAATGTGGGCAAAATTTTGCCCTTTCATTTAATTAACAACAGCTTTGGAATGCTAAGTAGGATCAGACTCACACATGTCAAGTCAGGGTGAACTCAGGAGTTCAAAAACAGTTTTATGGAATCATTTTCCAGAATTATTCATTCTCCATTATCTCAGTACTTCCTAGCTCCTCAGTGACTCCAGGCTGAAAATCTGTGCAAGGATGGCCCAAAAGCATTCCAGAAGAGAGCAGCAACAATGAACAGTTCAACGGGCTCCAACCAGTTCCTGCACTCACTACTATTTTCATCACCTAAATTGTTCTGTTGCGGCAATGGGGTAGACATTAATCAGGAGGGGAGAGTGGCGTAGGGTGGTGTGGGGCAGCTGGAGGGGGGAGAGGTGTCCTTAAATCTTCACTACCCCGATCTTCAGTTCTGGTTTAGTTAGCAAAAAGAGAACGCATAAAGTTATGAATCTTTCTGCTTCACAATGCTCATATCCAAGCTATGTAGTAAATAAAAACATTATTAACCTTCTATATTGTCCAATTAGATGTAATTTTCAATAGTGGCATTTTTATATGCCTATTAGAAGTTGGTGGCTCCCAACCAGTGCTGAGGGGGTTACAGCTGGCACTGAACACTTTTCCTTGTGCATGCAATGTCTGTGTCACCAAGGCCTCTCCTTGGCTGCTATAATGACTTTTTAGAAACATCAAATATCTGAATGTGCATCCTCTCCAGTTTTTATAGTTGAGAGAAGCTGGCAGGTAAGTTTTTTATGCCACCTTACTTAGAAACTATTTTCAAAACTGAGTAGTAAGATTATATACTACTCCACAGGTTATTTTCAGGCTCAGAATGATATCTGAAGTGCATTTCTAAGCTAATAATAACACCTTTGTGAAAAAACAGATTTAAAATTTTAATTCTTAAATTTAATATTACAATATATCCTGAGCGACTGATTGTGTTTCGTGATTTACACGCAGCTACTCAAATGGTTCAATGCTATTTCAAGACTACTTTCATTGAATTATTATGACACTTTAGTGAAAATCAAATTGGTCACTGATCTGCGCATACGTATTTTTACTATTACATTATTTTCTGGGCTGGAGTAATAGCACAGTGGGTATGGCATTTGCCGTGCATGTGGCCGACCAACCTGGGTTTGATTCCTCCACCTTCTCAGAGAGCCCGGCAAGCTACCAAGAGTATCCCACCTGCACGGCAGAGCCTGGCAAGCTCCCCATATGTATTTGATATGCCAAAAACAGTAACAACAAGTCTTACAATGGAGAAATTATTGGCGCCTGCTCAAGCAAATCGATGAACAACAGGAGGACAGTGCTACAGTGCTACATTATTTTCCAGTCCTTTTTTATGGTCCTTAACCTTCCAGTATATTCCATTATGTCTAATTATACTCAATGTAAATATTCTATTTGGATTTTTTTAAATGTAGGAGTACTGCTATTACTATTTGGATTTTGAACTTTATCTTTTGGTAAAGATAAGTTTTCTCTTATTCTTCAAAGCACATAATATGTATATTAAATCATTCCAATCAATTCACTGAATGTAAAATACAGGAATGCTTCAACAATACAACTCAATTTATAATTTTATCTGCAACTGTATACACACCATATAAACTTCAGTGAATCAATTGAATGTTAAATTAGCTTTATACTTTCAGGTTGCTCAACATAACTTCAAAAACGATTCATTACCTTCATATTTGGAAAAGTTTATTTTCTATTAATTATATTTATGTACATGATATTCTATTTATACTATATTTTGAAATCAGAGAGATATTACAACAGGTAATTGCACTTTCATGTAGCCAACCCAATCTGATACCAAAAAAAAAAATACCTGTTTTACAGCACTGGTTTTGACATCAATATCACTACTCATTTTTTTAAAAAAAATTAGTGTAAACTGAAATAGAACTGATTTCAACTAGATTCTTCAAGTAGAGTCCTGTCATTCTCTTAACCAGTTGTCCATTGCTACCTGAGTGATCATTCTAAGATGAAATTTGATAATGTAATTTCTTTCTTGACTATTTAAAAGGCGTCATATTACAATGACATAAAAGTTATACTTCTTCCCTTCACTGACTAAGCCACAAAGAAATACAGTTCTCTGAATACCTCAGGCATTACATATAATGATTAACTGTCCTGAACAACTTTGGAGTTTCATTTGCTCTTGAAAAATTATCTCATACTCTGAGAAGGCTGTCATGATTTCCCGAATTCCAGTTAGATGTTCTCTTACATTCATTTATATTCATATTATATTGTGTTTACCATTATGATTTTCTTATTGGTTGTATTATCATAAAGTATTCCTCTTAGGGTCTGTATTTTAAATCCTCAGTACCTAACAAATTTCAAGAAGAGAGTAAAAACCTGTTGGTAGAAAAAAATAACTGAATGAATATGCTCACAAACTGCCTTTCTCATTTTGCAAGAAACTCCAACATACAAATTCTTGCTGCATTTTTAAACATATTCAACTCAGCTACTTAGCAATAATATCCAATACACTGGGGATTAAATTTTAGTGGAAAGTAGGAAGATAATAATTTAATTGCACTTTGTGTCTAAACTGCTATGTTCTAACAAGTAAATTCTCATCATTCTTCATTTCCATGATGGTAATGACCTGGGTCAGCGTGCTAATAAATAATAAATGATTATAGAAAAGAATGGAGGAGTTAGTACACTGTAATTACATACCAGAGAAACCATGGCCCAACCAGTCTTATTATAGATGAACTCCAAGTTGTTTCTCCTCAAATAGAGTAAACCACCAACAAGTGAAACTAACAGGGCCAGAGCAATGGTGCCAGAGTAGTTAGGTGGCCTGAAGACTCTGATCTGCAGGAAGAAAGTGAACATTTTCAAGAAAAGTGATCCTTGTTCTCTTTTGAGCATATTCTGGTACTTCCATTTTTGAACACAAATATTTAGAAATATGCATCTCTATTTCATACATGAAACCAAAACTATTTAACATATCATACTTCCCAATTTAAAAAGAGAAAAATAAAAAGTGATCAGACAATGCAAAACACCTAGAAAACATATGAAAAATTAATATCACCAATAATGGGACAGACACTGTATGACACTGTATGCCTGAAGACATTACAATAGCATCTACTGCAGTAATAAATGAAGAAATTAATTTTTTTAAATGTCAGTGATTTCAACAAAGACAGTCTGTAGAAATGCTTCAGACTAAAATGATACTCCTTAGATCAACTGACATAAAACTGATATTAGTTCAAGTAAGAATATAAATCTATGAAGTTTATAGATTATACTAACCATATGAATTTTTGGGGCAAGGTGATTCACTCTCAAATAAGTAAAAAAAGAGGTTAGTGAGGAAAGAATAACAGCAGGAAAAAGAAAATATTAATAGACAATCTCATATATACTCGTGGGTTTTTTGCTTTTTATATCATTTTGATAGCACTTAGCTGAATAAGTTATAGTAAGTCAAAAGCATGAGGAGAATCAGGAAATAAATTTAAGCACTAAAGGTTCTGAATAAAACATAATTTTATTAACATTATGAAATAAGGGTAAATACTAGGTACTCATTTTGACTAAGACTAAAGTTGTTTATGGGATGAAAAACTGGTTTATTGCAGGTATCATATGTTTAAAAATCATTATTTCTGGGGTAAAGTAATAGTACAGCAGGTAGGAAGTTTCTTTTGGTGTGATTCAAAACACACCAAAAGAAAAAAGAGCTTCAAGAACTCCTAGAGTAAAAATTGTTCAATATTCTTAGGATAAGTGAGAGAGTAGTGCTAGTCCTCCCACAAATATCGTCCTAGGAATTTGATTCCTTTCTTGCCTGAAATCCTAATTATGCACTTTTCTCATCACATTTTTAATTTGTTAAAACTCAAATCATATTTCTAAATCAGATATTCCTGAAAACCTGCAATACAACACATTTATTATCTTTTCCAGGTTTTTATCATTGCATTGGTATTTGTTTATATTGTTAGGGGATACATATAATCCACATTATTAAAAGAAAACATCTATTCCTCGTTCCAACATCTCTGCACCAAGGTCCACTGGATCCCCTCCAGAAACCTGAACTGTGAGTTCACAGATGATTTTGCCCAACAAATCTGCTTCTCTGTTTCTTACATATGAGTGAGTTTTTTATTCAGTTCTTTAGCATGACCACGTCAATTTGAGCTGCCACAAAAGACAAGTTTTCATCATTCAGTCACGCGTTAGGCACCTGAATTTTTTCCAGATCTACAATGATACACATGTGCCTAGAAAGTTTTTCTGCATCATATTGTAGATCATTTTTCAGAAATTTATGGGCAATAGCTTGAAGTCATCTGAATTCAGAGGGTAACTTCCTAAGATCTGCTTATATCAAAATATATGTACTGTCAGAACACTTGTAAAACTTTAGAGTTCCTCAGTGACTATATGTGTTGTCTCACATGGCCCATGAAAAAAGAGTATTATCTATGTTTTCTCTGTCCAAAGATAAAAATTTTACATTGAGCTCTCTAACAGAATTCCTTTACCATAACACAGAAAAATGTTTAGTGTAAATATAGTGTATATTTATAGTCACATAAATTATAGAAATTAAGTCTAATTCATATACTCTTTAATGATTCTTAAAATATCACCGCACCCTTATTCTAAAAATCATTTAAATTCACACAACTCAAAACACATCTTAAAGCAAACAGAATTTTCTCTAATCAAGAAAAGAGGATAAAAACTTGGTGGCTTATTGGAAAGCTCTAACAAAACCAAGTTAATCAACCTATCATTTAAAACTGAGAGGAATAAAAACATACATGAACATCCGTTCTGTCAGCAATCCACTTTGCAAGTTGTTCTGCTGCAAATCCAATTCTCTGAAGGTCAAAAGTATCAGCTCTCTTAGGTCTGCCTTTTGGAGGAAAATGCATGAATGAAGGAGCAGAATTCATGTTGAGCTGTAAACATGAGATAAAAGTAATGAACTATATTATCAGCAATATTTGTGTATTATTCATTTACTATATTATTTTTGGATAAGTTTTAGAAAACTAGCAGCTCTGATAAAAATTCAACTGGGGGCTGGAGCAATAGCACAGCAGGTAGGGCTCTTGCCTTGCACGCAGCAGACCCAGGTTCAATTCCCAGCATCCCATATGGTCCCCTGAGCACTGCCAGGGGTAATTCCTGAGTGCAGAGCCTGGAATAATCCCTGTGCATCACCAGGTGTGACCCAAAAATCAAAAAAAAAAAAAAAAGAAAGAAAAATCAACTGGATTTTCTGGAGCTTAATTGTTGTCTTTATGTAACTTCAACTAAATTCTATGAAATTTCTAATTTAACATGCAGCATTCACCATGTTTTCATAACTATATTTTGCTGTGTAGAATTCTGTAAACAGAGTAAATAGAAATATTACAATTATCATTATATAAATTATTTTATTTCTTAAGCAGTTACTCAAAATATGTAAATAACTTTAACAAATCAATCAACAGATTGAATTCTTAATTGATTTTTAATTTTTTAATGATGATGGTCACAGTATAAATTTGGTTGCCAGCCTATATGAAAAGCCCATGGGTAATCTTTCTGCTTCACTTCTCTATTAATTCACCTGTCTTGGTTACAATGGCTATATTTTAAATTAAAAAAAAGATGATTTCTATTTTAAAAGTATACTATAGTAAAAGCTATGCTTATTAAACATAAAGTATCTTTCAAATGTAAAATTTACATTGAGATGCAGAGCAAAAAGTGAAATGAAACATCATTCCTTTCTTTTCTGTGCTATTTTCACTCCATACTTTGTTTCCCTGAATAAAGCCAAGAAATTGACACAGAAAACATATAAATGTAATGATCACCAGGAAGAAAGCTCCTTATCATACTCTTTGTACTAGAAATATAAGAAGATCCACACTTAGATCCACACTTAGAATAATAAAACTATTCTGGAATTTTAGTTTTAAAATACTGTGATTCAAATACACATAATCCCCAGAGCTATAAAGAATATGACACAGACCTAGTTTCTAGTCCAGACTTTTTCCTAACAGTAATTTATTAACCCAATGACTGTTGTCACTTAGAGTCACTCAAGACTATCATATAAAACTGATGCTACTTTCCAAACAGTCCCCAAGAATTACAAGTTTCTGAACGTGTTATTATTTTCAAACACCACAGTACTGCAAACAGTGTTTTAAAACATGCTTAAAGGGAGGACTTTCAACACAATGATTCAAAAGTTGGTGAAAAGGAAAACATAAGCAGTAAAAATCATTTAGTATTTCTCAAGCAAAGCAAAATGTACACTATCCCATTTTTATATATTATTATCCCCCATAAAAAATCATTAACTGCTATAACTTTCACGCATCCCTGCATTTTAAAGTAAAAACTCTTATTGCTAAGCCAAAGGCTAAATTTCAGAAAACATAAAGCCATTCTATATTCAAAATTCTGCTGAATCAAAATAACCTAAAGCATTTTTCAATTAAAAGCAATTTTAACTCCTACCTATGCCAGACTTAACACACACTGTGTACAATATTCCAATGTCTCCACCTACACTGATCTTGTAAGTCAGTCCTGAGCATGCAGGATTTTGTGCCAGTTTTGTTTTTCAACTTGAATTAGCTACCAACATCTCAAATACAAATCATATTTGTATCTCTTTCAGAAACAGATAAAACCAAGTGGTCTCCATACTACAAGAGAGCAAGAGCCAAACTGTGTTTCTTTTATTGTATTCAAGTTTGCCCTCTCCAATATGTCACTGTACCCAGCTACATTACTTTCTCAACAATGAGACCATGGATTAGTTGTTCTGCTGATTATATATATTTAAGGTTCTAAAGAAGATAAAGATAGGTTTTAGAATAAAAACATGAATAACCATAGAGATTCTACCATGGGAAGGGCACCTGCTTTGCATTCAGCCACCCATGTTCAATCCCCGACAACTACTAACTATGCCCCCCAGAAAAAATGAAATTCTAAAAAATATAAGTACATTTAATTATGAATGTGAAGAACATAATTTTAAAATATAAAACATACCATAAAGAAACTAATCTAAGCATTTTCATTGATGTTGTTTCTGTTTATTTAGCTTATAGATATGGCCAGGTTAGACATTTGGGTTAGAAAACCTGTTGGTGTAGTGAGATTGGTCCAAGGTCCCTAACATGGTAGAGAGAACAAGTACATAATAAGAGGCACTTCTGTCTGATACTCTCAATGGCCAATTATTCTGAAATACTAAAGAAACTTAGAAGTAACATGAAATAATATTTGATGTTAAAAATGTTACTGTGTCTGGCATATCGAATACTCTCGGTAGCTTGCCGGGCTCTCCGAGAGGGGCGGAGGAATCGAACTCGGGTAGGCCATGTTGGCCGCTTGTAAGGCGAACGCCCTACCCGCTTTGCTATCGCTCCAGTTAAAAATGTTATTTTAATAATATTATTCAAATAATATTTTAATAAAATTAAAATATTAAATCAATATTAAATTAAATCATCTCCAAAAGGCAAAATAAATATATGAAGGAAGAATTAAGAGAGGAATACTAATAGAAAAGGGTAAAGGGTACCGAAAGCTAGAAGAGACAATTTATCTTGCTCAACTAAAAACTGGCAAAGATGAATGAATAATCAATAGGGAAGCAATAAGCAAAAATATTCACTAGCAAACAATTTACAATTAGTGTGCTAGATTCTTTTCAAAACTAAACTCTGTCCATGATCAAACTGAGCATTATGCCAGTGTCAGATATGAAGAAAAAGAAAATAGAACACAATACTCAAACTGAAAATGTAAGGGATTACAATTTTCTTATACTTTAAAAGTACTGATCAACCCGTGCTTTGTATTATCCTTGATATCAACCCCTTGGGCTAGAGCGAAAGCACAGTGGTAGGGTGTTTGCCTTGCACGCAGCCAACATGGCCGACCCGAGTTCGATTCCTCTGCCCCTCTCGGAGAGCCCGTCAAGCTACCGAGAGTATCTCGCCCGCACGGCAGAGCCTGGCAAGCTCCCCGTGATGTATTCGATATGCCAGACACAGTAACAACAAAGTCTCCAATGGAGATGTTACTGGGTCCGCTAGAGGAAATTGATGAACAATTGATGAGAGGACAGTGACAATGATCAACCCCTTATTGGATGTGTATTTGGCAAATATCCTTTCCCATTCTGCAGACTGTCTTTGTATTTTGGTCACTGTTTCTTTTGAGGTGCAGAAGTTTCTTAGTTTAAGATAGTCCCAATTGTCTATCTCTGTTTTCACTTGTTTGGCCAGTGGTATGTCATCTTTGAAGATACCGTTAGCTTCAATGTCGTGAAGCGTTTTGCCAACAATTCTTCAATGTACCTTATGGATTCCGGTCTGATGTTGAGGTCTTTATTCCATTTTGATCTGACTTTTGTACATGGTGTTAGGTTGAGATCTGAGCCCATTTTTTTGCATGTAGCTGTCCAGTTTAGCCAGCACAATTTGTTAGCACTGGTTGAACTCCACAAGAAGAAAACATCCAACCCCATCAAAAAATGGGGTGACAAAATGAACAGAAACTTTCTCAAAGAAGAAATCCAAATAGCAAAAAGGCACATGAGAAAATGCTCTAAATCACTAATCATGATGGAGATGCAGATCAAAACAAGGAGATATCACCTCATACCACAGATACCGGCCCACATCCAAAAAAACAAAAGCAACCAGTGTTGGCATGGATGTGGCAAGAAGGGACTCTCATCACTACCTGTCAGAATGCCGATTGGTTCCGCCCTTTTGAAAAACAGTATGGACGATTCTCAATAAATTAGTAACTGAGCTCCCATTTGAGCCAACAATACCACTCTTGGGAATATATCCCAGCGAGGCAAAAAACTAGAGTCAAAATGACATCTGCACTTCTATGTTCATAGCCACACTATTCACAATAGCCAAAATTTGGAAAAAACCCAAGTGCCTGAGAACTGGTGACTGCTTAAAGAAACGTTGGTACATCTACACAATGGAATACTATGCAGCTGTTAGAAAAGATGAAGTCATGAAATTTACATACAAGTGCTTCTACATGGAAAATATTATGCTAAGTGAAATGGGCCAGAAAGAGAGGGACAGACATAGAAAGACTGCATTCATCTGGGGAATATAAAGTAACAGAAGGGGAGTTGAACACCCAAGAATAGTTGAGATAAGTGGCAGGAGGTCTGCTCCGTGGCTTGGAAGCCTGTCTCCCATGCTGGAGGAAAAGGCAGCTCAGATAGAGAATGGAACACCAAGTAAAGGATGTTTGGAGGACTCGCTCAGGATGAAAGATATGTGCTGAAAGTAGACTACAGACCGAACATGATGGCCATTTAATACCTCTACTGAAAATTACAACACACTAAAGAAAGAGGGGGCAAAAGGGAAAGCCCTTTTTGGTCACTGTTCAGGAATTACTCCTATTGGGCTTGGGGGACCTTATGGGGTGCCTGGGATAAAAAATGAATTGAGTGTGTGCCAGGCAACTGCCCTATCCACTGTGCTCTCTTCAGCAGCTCCAGCTCCAATCCTATTGGAAGTGTATTGCTTCAACATGAGAAACTGAGAAATTTTGTATCTATTCTCTTAGTTATATAGAATATATAAATATATATACACAATACTTCACATATGAAACAATTATCGCATCCCATGTGACAAAAATCAAAAATAAAGTACAACTTAGAATAAAATTCACATTGAAATTTATTTAAGTTTGTGTCAAATACAAACTACATAAAATTGAATGCTAAAACAAGGTTGATAAAAGTAAACTGACAGTGAATGCTTAAAAATTTATTTACTCTATTAATAAAGATAATAGAGTCTCTTGCCTCCATGCCTGGCTGTCCTCACTGGGGGCCCTTAGAGGAGGGTGGGTTGAGTTTCCCTCCCCACCCTGAGCCCCAGCAGCTGAAGACCTCTGGTTCCAGCCACAGCCATGCTTAAGACCACTCTCCATTCGCTCGGATGAGCCTCATGCATGAAGGAACCGGCAGAGTAACTCAGGTGTGTGGGACCCGGGTCTTAGATCCCCAAGCCTGTTCAGATAGGGACTGGGTCTCCTCCACCAAGATCCCTCATCTTCCAGTATGTAGGTGTTACACCCACCAACTGCCCCCAGCACCATGTAATCCCATCAACGGCCAAAACCCAGAGACTATAATACCAAGCTCCCGGAAGCGTGCGGCCACAAATCTAGTTCTTACTCTGGAGAACCAGGCAGGCTACCAAAAGTATCCTGCCCGCATGGCAGAGTCTGGCAAACTCCCCATGGTATATTCAATAAGCCAAAAACCAGTAACAATGATGGGTCTCATTCTCCTGACCCTGAAAGAGTCTCAAATGTGGCACTTTCTAAAATCTCAAGGCTAGGACGAAGGAGACATTACTGGTGCCTGCTCAAGGAAATCGATGAACAACAGGATGACAGTGGTACAGTGATAAAGATAACATAAAAATCACTTCACACAATTTATTATAACTTACTGTAAATTGTAGTTTTATCTGAGTAATAAGTATATCAACAAAATCAGCAACTCTATTTAAATAGCAAAGCAAATTATAATTCTTACCTGTTGGAAAACATCTGACCCCTCATCATAGTCTACCATGCTGAAGAAAAGTTTGTTACAGAAAGCAGATGAATAGCGCCAGGAGTTAGCCAGTATCTGATATTCTTCATTAGCTTGTCTGATAGGGAAAAAGGAGCACATAAAAACCTATCAATATTCAAGCACTGATCAAGCTACCTAATAAAAAAAGGTAATTTGGGGACTACAGTGGCCAGGTTTCATATAGGGACTGCAATTAAATTTACACTTTTCAAGATAATTTAAAAATCAAAAATGTGCTAACATGTAGAAATTCATTTTTTAAACTACTGAACATACAGTATCACTACAATACTGATTAGATTATATATACAGCCCTCAATTATGCTATGGCAAAGTAAAACTGCATAGGCCAAAAGAGCTTGGCTTTTAAGTAAAAAGCTTAACAATTCATTCTGGGTTATACAATTATTTTGTGGCATCTCTGAAAGATACAATTTAACTCCCCTGAGGATTTCAGTAAAAGGCAATTTTTAAAAGAATTTCTGCAGTATAGTTTGACAGAGAAATCATAAACAAATGTTTTTAAATTACAAGTATATTAGACTTCATTTTTTACATAACCCATTTATCTAAAACTGCATTTGCATTCAAATCTAAAAGTAAGCAAAAATTTCTGACTAGCCCAACCAAATGCATAAACAAGTCTTCTCAAAAACATTGTTACTATTTTGAATTCACTCAATTGGATTTTGTTGGATTTTCATAACAAAGACATATATAAAAGGGTGAAGGTAAAATATAACTAATTAAAGAAAATAAATGCTTCTTCACAAAATAAACAAAAAAATGACTTCTTTTGACAAAATGGAAGCAATTAAAAAAAGGTTTGATACCACATAAATTAAAAGATTTAGAGTACAGTGAACAGCAATCAGAGATTTAAAGAATTATCTAGAAAATTTAGGAATTTCATTAAGTTTAGAATGTTAGATATTTAGATATTAAAGGAGGCTGTGGTACAGAAAATCATGGAGAAAATAAGAGATTAAAACAGGAAACAGTCCAAATTAGGCTGTAAAATTTTTAGTTTCCATAGCACAGCGGCTAGGGCGTACGCCTTACAAGCGGCCAACATGGCCGACCCGAGTTCGATTCCTCCGCCCCTCTCGGAGAGCCCGGCAAGCTACCGAGAGTATTCGATATGCCAGACACAGTAACAACAAAGTCTCCAATGGAGACGTTACTGGGCCCGCTCGAGCAAATCGACGATCAACGGGAGGGCCTTTACCTTTACAATCTGAAAAAGTAATTCATGAACTCATGAATTACTCTGCTTCTGCCACCAAATATAAAAACAACAGTTATTTTCATATTTGGTGGCAGAAACAAAGTAATTCATGAGTTCATGTTTGTTTTCCTGGGTTCCCTCCTGCCTCAGAGTGATACAAGTAAATTTTTGAGGATGTCTACAAACACAATGCCACAAGACAGGAACACTAAGTTTGAGGGAAAAATAGCTGGAGACAGCTAGTGATTACACGTTTTTGCTTTAGTCAAGGGAATGAAACATGACCTCTCAATTTAATCTTGCCACTGCACATTCAACAGGAACAATGATGTCATAGAGATGTTTGAGTTCCTGGCAGTTGGGTTCTTCAAACAGTAGTCTCACACACCAAAGAGAGCAAGATAATTTTAAAAACACATCAAAGCAAAAGAGGGCTTGGAGAGAGCAAGCAGAGGCTAGGAGTTTGCCTAGCAGGAGACCAAATTTCCCAAAATTACAGGGTGTGGCCCTCCAGTCTCTGAGAGCTGCTTGGGAAAAACATTATAAAGAGAGGACTTATAAATTTAAAGTGTGACTGATTAACACAAATATTAGTAGACAAAATGCAAAAAGTAAAGACACAAATGTATCTTTGGAAGAGGAAAGTGAAGGAAAGGAGATAAAATAAAGGAGATGAATGCAAAATACAAAGGAAATGAGTAGGCAACATAATTTCAAAACATAGATAAAAAGAAGATGCTGAAAATTTTCAGAGAAAAACATGTAACAAGGCAAACAAACTGGTAATTATTAACAATAGATGCTAGAAGATAACAGAATGATCCCATTTCAGCTTCAAGGGCATTTTCTCATCTCTAGCAAGTCACATAATAGAAATGCAAAACAAACATGTACTGATAATGTCAGAAACAGAACCGGTGAAATTATATCAGCATGGAAATGATACCAGCTGATAATGCCAGAAACATGGAACTGTATTAGAATGGAATTGATGCTAGAACAATGGTATGAGTGACATAGTTACAAGACCTGAGACTACTGATACAAATGCTATGAGCAAGTGAAAAAGATACCAATACATAAGGTATGGCAGAGTGTGCTGAAGATGACTGCGGTTTACCTATGAAGCTATAATGTGAAAATTAGAACACATTTAATAGCTCTTTAAGCAATAAGGAGAACTATAATGTGTTGCGAGAAATAAAGACCAGAGTAAGTAAAACATCTGATCCCACATTAGGAAAACCAACTTAAACAAAGTGAATACAAAAGCCAAGGTGTAAACAAAAGTCAAATTAAAAATGAATTATAATTTTGATTATTTAGAAATTAGAAAGGTAAATTATTTTGAACTAGATACGTTGAGTGGGACAGGGGTCATAAAAAAGAGCAATAATAAAAAAAAACTATAACCATAACCCACTAGTTTGCATTCAATGCTATTTGTAAGGTGCTTAATAGCTTTTGTGAGACTTGTTGTTACTGTGTCTGGCATATCGAATACGTCACGGGGAGCTTGCCAGGCTCTGCTGTGTGGGCGAGATACTCTTGGTAGCTTGCCGGGCTCTCCGAGAGGGGCAGAGGAATCGAACTCGGGTCGGCCATGTTGGCTGCGTGCAAGGCAAACACCCTACCGCTGTGCTATCACTCCAGCCCTTTAATAGCTTTAAAAATTTTAAATAATTGACAGAACCAATGTAACTACTGGTGCAGTAGAGAAAGTTATCAACCAAGATGGCACAGAAAAAAGCTAATTTGATTTGGTAGAAAAAAAAGAAGTTACTGGAAAGCTTCATCAAGATAAATTTTTGATGGAAATAGAAGAATACTATTTACTACGTAATTAATGAAAGAATAGAAAAAACACACGATAACTGAGTTAAAACATTTATCATAGTATAAATGTAAACATCACATATGCAATATGACATTCTGATATAAGAACATTTCAAAACATGAAAACCACAGGAAAACAAACATAAGAATAATTGTCAATGTCCACAAATCTGCAAATAGGTGACTGTAAGAGTGAGGAGTTGTAATTATTCATGTTAGAACTCCTTACCCCCCAAAATATAAGCAGTACATAATATTGCTGGGCAAAGTATGTATATGAGAATTAAATATGAACAAATTCACAAGACTGAAAATCACTCAGAATAAAGTAAAAATTCTAGGAAATCTTTCATTAAAAAATCTCACTTTTTTTTACAACATACTATAAAAGCTAAAAGTTACAATGATCAGTAGAAGAATATTATAAGGCAGAGATATTAGAAGAATATTAGAAGCAGAAAATTAGTATAGATCAATGGCTACAAGCTTTGGTCATTAAAAAAAAAGAATTAAATGCAGTCCAATTCACATAAAAATGATTTTCTGTAGAAAGGTGGGCAACACTGGGAATCAAGCCCAGGGTCTTATATGCAAGGCAAGTGCTCTACAACTAAGTTACATCCCAAGGGAGCTATCTTCATTCTCATGCAGTTATTTTAGGGAGAAACTTTTAATATGGTTTTCACAAAAAAAAATTGCTAAGTATACAGTAAGAAAAGCATAGAAAAATTATTTCAAAAATCAGTGGAAAAATGATTATTTAGATGATACATTCATGAAAGGTTTTCAGAGGAAGTAGAACTAATATTCAAAACCCAAGGATGAGATAATTCCATTACTGGAAGAAATGGTATTTCAGGTAGAAGGAATAGGAAGCACAAAAGAGTAAAAAGCAAAACAACATAAGTACTGGTTAAACGAATGAAAAGCTTTCTGTCCAGTAAAGGACTATATGCACAAGATTACACAGTTTACACTTTCTCTTGCTAAGCTGAAAGTGTCTTACTGCCTCTTTTTTTTTTTACTAAAAGTAAAAGTAGAGATATATCAAATGAGAACTAAGATTTTATTTTTGTTGTTATAGCTTTATGGACCATACTATACATGTTTTTGCCATTATCTCAAAGTAGAACATTTTTATTATGTATGATTTGATAGCTAACTTTGAAGACCAAAAAACATGCAACATTTTTTTAGGTAAGTTAATGGTTACATTTTTCCTGTACTTTCAAAATCACTTGATCACTTGACTTCCCGTTAATCGGCGATTTGCTCAAGCGGGCGCCAGTAACATCTCCATTTGTACCTGTACCATGCTAGTGTAGCCCAATGGCGTCTATTCACTCTAGGAACACGAAGAGCCTCAAACCGATCGTTCATTCCACAGGAAGAAATCACCCAACCCCATCAAAAAATGGGGCGAGGAAATGAACAGAAACTTTCACAAAGAAGAAATCCGAATGGCAAAAAGGCACATGAGAAAATGCTCTACATCACTAATCATCAGAGATGCAGATCAAAACAACAATGAGATATCATTTCACACCACAGAGACTGGCCCACATCCACAAGAACAAAAGCAACCAATGCTGGCGCGGATGTGGGGAGAAAGGGACCCTCCTTCACTGCTGGTGGGAATGCAGGCTGGTCCAACCCTTTTGGAAAACAGTATGGACGATTCTCAAAAAATTAGAATTCGATCTCCCATTTGACCCAGCTATAGCACTCCTGGGAATATATCCCAGAGAGGCAAAAAGGTATAGTCGAAGTGACATCTGCAATTGTTTGTTCATAGCAGCACTCTTTACAATAGCCAGAATCTGGAAAAAACCTGAGTGTCCAAGAACAGATGACTGGTTAAAGAAACTTTGGTACAGTTACACAATGGAGTACTATGTAACTGTTAGAAAAGATGAAGTTATGAAATTTACATACAAGTCGTACTACATGGAAAGTATCATGTTAAGCGAAATGAGTCAGAAAGAGCGGGTTAGACACAGAAAGACTGCATT